CACGGATAATAATAAATAACATAATAATAATAATAATAATTTTATAATATAACATTTACGGATATCATAAAAATGGGAGTGAGAGACATCTATAACTGAAATCGGCAATTACTTAGTTGTCAACCCAATATAATAGGAATATAATATAAAGTAATAAAAATAATATAGAAAGTTGACACTTCTTCTGTCATATTCTAGTCAGCACTGAAAGGATTAGTGTACTAGAACCTCGATTATCCGGACCACTAATTTCAGAATACTCTATTATCCAAACATGTTTTATATTTAATCAGCCGAATTTAATTCAAAACCAGCCCAATATTTTATGCAAAACAATTTAGTTGTATAAATCAATAGGGATTAAATCTGACACTGTAACCAGCTGAGTGATTTATTCGAAATTGTGAACATTCATATCACCCTACCTGTCTTCGATAATCAAGATTCTATTGTGCATGAAAATGTATTATCTTCACCTGGTGCGCCTGGTCGCCCTTGGTTACCAGGAAGTCCTGGCAATCCTGATAGTCCTGGGAAACCATCTGGTCCATAGAAGCCTGCGTCACCGCTTTCACCCTGAAATAATTTGCAACAATTTGTTTTAGGATTGCAGATTAGTAAAGAAATTTCATCTTGTGCTGCTAACGTGTTAAAGAAACAAATTGACTTTTCAAACATTCGAGGTTTTCTCGAACCGGTATCATACAGTTCTGTTACTGTTGAGGATTTCGGATTATTTTTATATTTTTCGAATCTTTCCCATTAAAAATTTTAAATAACTGCCACTTTTGATCCCTAGATATGACTAAACGGCGGTTAAATGTCATGTTTACAATTAGTGTCATTAATTTAAATACCTTTCGACCAGGTCTTCCAACGTATCCTTGTTCACCTCGCTCGCCTTTCTCTCCTTCGAGACCATCTAGACCAGGATTGCCGAACTCGCCTTTCTCTGCTATAGCATACGATGGTAAACCTGGTTCGCCTATATAACCCTTTGGTCCTGGTACACCTGTTAAACCAGGCATACCTCGAGGGCCTTCGTCACCAGGCATTCCTAAATAGAAATCGTGTTAAGTATGATGTGTTAATGCATAGAATATGTAACACCATTAAAAGCCTACCTGGTAGACCCATTAGACCAGGATCACCGTCCAGTCCTCTTTTACCGTTAGGACCATCTAAACCGACCGGACCTTCCAGACCGCGTTCACCTTTTCCACCAAATTTGCCATGTATACCAGCTGCTCCTTTTGTTCCTGGGAATCCCCAATCTCCTAGTAGTCCTCTCGCACCATCCGGTCCCATGTCACCGATTTCTCCCTGTGTAAGAAGTGTTTTCAATTAATATATAAACATGATGAACGATCGCACAATATGCTTGGTGTAATAAGAAGGAATAACGACATTAATTGCACGTAATGCCTTTATAACTTTATTGACATGAAAATGAAAATGAAAATGAAAATGAAAATGAAAATGAAAATTAATTAAATTAAATTAAAATTAAATTAAAATTTTCGAAACTAAACATGTCTATACAAACGTGAGTGAGTTTACATGAGATAATTAATTAGTAATTAAAGTAAGTAATTAAAAGTAAAATATTAAAATTATTAAAATTAAAGTAATTAATTAGTAACAGTTATGGCAATATGAACATACAACTGTCAACAAGTTCAAATTCCCTCGTTACGTTACCGTAATTAATAGATCATTATTGTACAGTTCAAAATGCTGAACACAAAACTTTGGAAACTACCTTAATTATCTTCACCACGATTTAATTTTGAAAGAAATACTGAAATTTTCAACATTATAAACTTTTTGTGATTTGGCACTGTTTACACGGGTTTAAAATGGCACTGTCTACAATCTTATAAATAAATATATTGTTATATATTTAAACAAAACATCGATGCTCTGTTTTATACCCACCCGTTTCATTTCACTATACTCTCCCTAATTCCTACTTATAGCGATGTATGTGTACCTTTAGTCCAGGAATTCCATGGGCTCCATCATAACCTGAATCACCTTTCAGCCCAGGGAAACCATTGTAACCGTCGATGGCTGTGCCAGGTTCACCAGGTAAACCAGGTCGACCATCCATGCCTGGGATTCCGGGTACCCCAATCTCTCCCATGTAACCAGCTTCACCGATATCACCTTGTGGTCCACTAAATGAATTTTCACCCGGGAAACCATCTGGCCCGTCAAGGCCTCTGTCTCCAGTGATGCCTTGAATTCCAGGGAGACCCATAATACCCGGAAGGCCAGGTAATCCAACGTCACCTTGTTCCCCTTTAGCACCCAGTAGACCCGGGAAGCCTTCTCCTCCAGGCCAGCCTGGTGGACCGGTGTCGCCGAGATCTCCAACGTCACCGTCTTCACCCGGAGGACCAGGCATACCTGGCGAACCGTCGCGTCCCAAATAACCCATTGGACCATCGTCACCGTCATCGCCTCTACGTCCAATGAAACCGAGCTCTCCTTTCAGGCCCTTCATTCCGTCGAATCCGGGTGGTCCATCGGGACCTAAACACAGCGAAGTAATTTATACGATTATAAGAGTATCGCTCAATATTCGTTTTCACGCGTGGTATGCTATTGCATTGAAATGCTTTTGTAAACATGCATATTTCTGTGCAATCGATATTGGGAATTATCTACAGGATATCCCAGAATTAGCGTAGGACTTGGAAAAGGATGACTCCTGAGGTGATTTCAAGTAAGCGGACACGTAGAGGACATTTAAAGGTCGTCGATGTCCTGATATTCTTTGGAAAAAGGTATTAACCCTTAGCACTCTGAACCATTCTGGACGTTGGCTACCAGCTACTCAGCGCCACTTTTCGGCAGAAAAGGGCATTTACAGACCCTCGTATTATTTAGTATGATTTTGGAACTAACTAACATATTATAATGATATTGGACTTATATGAATTGGCTGAAATCGAGAAATTGGAAAAAAAATCAATATTTTATTTTTTATAATTTTGTTATTGTTTGTTTTATAATTTTGTTTTGTTGTTGTAATCGCTATCTATGCGAACTCTTTCTCTCGTCGCCTTGTTGCTTGGACGATATCACTTACTGTCATATCTTTTTCATTGAAAAAGATTGGTAATAGATGTTCTATTTTTACATTATTTTTATAATTATTTCTCGAAGACCCAATTATACATTCGCGTACCATGCAATCCACATCTCCAGAATCGTTATTGGATATGAAATGTACAAGTATCAACTATTTTTGTGTATTTTTAATGAAATGACAGGATAATCTCCGGATATTTTGTGCCAATTCCGCGATATGTTAACTTGAAGCTGAAAATAATTGAGCTTCGCCTAAAAAATGATTGATATTCCCTTACTTCCAATATAACATGTACGTTTCCATAAGCATATAATAGTTTGAGAAAATCTGATATCGTTATACGAGAATTTTTGGATTTTATATTTTTGTCTCGCGTGGCTGCACTGAACAGCGCACCGAGCTGTGCGAACGTGCTTGTGGAATGCGAGGGAGACTGCGTCGAATGTCGACACGATACGGACGCACTTATGATCACGATTACGGTTATGATTACGAACACGGCTTGCGATTACGGGAATTATTGTATACAGCTTCACTGTCTCTTTGTACCGTATTATTTAGCAAATAAATAGAATAGTTTTCAAATAATACTATCTTTATATGTATACACTCATACACGAAAGTATTCGAACGCTTACGTTTCTAACATTCAATTAATAAAATATATGTGTTAAACTGAAGCATTTGATATGATATGACACATATAACAATGGATGGGACTTAAGACTGCGTAAGCAAAATTAGAAAATAATTCAACCTGTCTCTTATACACATCTAGATGTGTATAAGAGACAGGCATACCGCTAAAATAGTCGAAGAATGGATATTGTACAATGTTCCACACGTGGTGCCACATCCACCGCAAAGTCCCGATTTAAACCCTGTCTCTTATACACATCTAGATGTGTATAAGAGACAGGCATACCGCTAAAATAGTCGAAGAATGGATATTGTACAATGTTCCACACGTGGTGCCACATCCACCGCAAAGTCCCGATTTAAACCCTGTCTCTTATACACATCTAGATGTGTATAAGAGACAGGCATACCGCTAAAATAGTCGAAGAATGGATATTGTACAATGTTCCACACGTGGTGCCACATCCACCGCAAAGTCCCGATTTAAACCCTGTCTCTTATACACATCTAGATGTGTATAAGAGACAGGCATACCGCTAAAATAGTCGAAGAATGGATATTGTACAATGTTCCACACGTGGTGCCACATCCACCGCAAAGTCCCGATTTAAACCCTGTCTCTTATACACATCTAGATGTGTATAAGAGACAGGCATACCGCTAAAATAGTCGAAGAATGGATATTGTACAATGTTCCACACGTGGTGCCACATCCACCGCAAAGTCCCGATTTAAACCCTGTCTCTTATACACATCTAGATGTGTATAAGAGACAGGCATACCGCTAAAATAGTCGAAGAATGGATATTGTACAATGTTCCACACGTGGTGCCACATCCACCGCAAAGTCCCGATTTAAACCCTGTCTCTTATACACATCTAGATGTGTATAAGAGACAGGCATACCGCTAAAATAGTCGAAGAATGGATATTGTACAATGTTCCACACGTGGTGCCACATCCACCGCAAAGTCCCGATTTAAACCCTGTCTCTTATACACATCTAGATGTGTATAAGAGACAGGCATACCGCTAAAATAGTCGAAGAATGGATATTGTACAATGTTCCACACGTGGTGCCACATCCACCGCAAAGTCCCGATTTAAACCCTGTCTCTTATACACATCTAGATGTGTATAAGAGACAGGCATACCGCTAAAATAGTCGAAGAATGGATATTGTACAATGTTCCACACGTGGTGCCACATCCACCGCAAAGTCCCGATTTAAACCCTGTCTCTTATACACATCTAGATGTGTATAAGAGACAGGCATACCGCTAAAATAGTCGAAGAATGGATATTGTACAATGTTCCACACGTGGTGCCACATCCACCGCAAAGTCCCGATTTAAACCCTGTCTCTTATACACATCTAGATGTGTATAAGAGACAGGCATACCGCTAAAATAGTCGAAGAATGGATATTGTACAATGTTCCACACGTGGTGCCACATCCACCGCAAAGTCCCGATTTAAACCCTGTCTCTTATACACATCTAGATGTGTATAAGAGACAGGCATACCGCTAAAATAGTCGAAGAATGGATATTGTACAATGTTCCACACGTGGTGCCACATCCACCGCAAAGTCCCGATTTAAACCCTGTCTCTTATACACATCTAGATGTGTATAAGAGACAGGCATACCGCTAAAATAGTCGAAGAATGGATATTGTACAATGTTCCACACGTGGTGCCACATCCACCGCAAAGTCCCGATTTAAACCCTGTCTCTTATACACATCTAGATGTGTATAAGAGACAGGCATACCGCTAAAATAGTCGAAGAATGGATATTGTACAATGTTCCACACGTGGTGCCACATCCACCGCAAAGTCCCGATTTAAACCCTGTCTCTTATACACATCTAGATGTGTATAAGAGACAGGCATACCGCTAAAATAGTCGAAGAATGGATATTGTACAATGTTCCACACGTGGTGCCACATCCACCGCAAAGTCCCGATTTAAACCCTGTCTCTTATACACATCTAGATGTGTATAAGAGACAGGCATACCGCTAAAATAGTCGAAGAATGGATATTGTACAATGTTCCACACGTGGTGCCACATCCACCGCAAAGTCCCGATTTAAACCCTGTCTCTTATACACATCTAGATGTGTATAAGAGACAGGCATACCGCTAAAATAGTCGAAGAATGGATATTGTACAATGTTCCACACGTGGTGCCACATCCACCGCAAAGTCCCGATTTAAACCCTGTCTCTTATACACATCTAGATGTGTATAAGAGACAGGTTTAACACATATATTTTATTAATTGAATGTTAGAAACGTAAGCTTCCGAATACTTTCGTGTATGAGTGTATGTTAATTTCATTGCTGCTACGAAAGAATGACATTCTTGTTAATACTTTAATGGTTTCATTTGCATGAAAGGTTCGATACGTTGACTATTTACATCGTGACAATTTCTGCATTGACAAATTCTTCTTCACGTGAATTATGCTGTCCAACTTCAAACTAAATTGAGACCCACAATGTCTACCTTTCCTCCCTTAGAATGTCTTATCTTAGAGCAACAGTTCGCCCTATAATGCAACGTATTGTATAAACGTCTAGCATAGACTTACATGAGCACATGAGTTAATTTCTTCTACTTCCACATTGTTGCTGAGCACAATTGTAAATCAACCTAGCATTAACCAATAGAGTAAATATTTGCGGATATTATAATGCGGATGAATGAAATTAATAGAACACTAACAAAACGGGTAATACTTTTATAGCAACAATCAAATTAACTTACCACTTAAACGACTGTTTTTTCACATAAGTAGGTTAATACTTATATCAAAGAATATCATTACCTGATAAACTAACAAATACATTATTGTCTCCCTAACTGACGCTCAGATTGTGCCCAAAAATGGACAATTTGGGAAGAGGAGGTACGATTATTCCAACCTTGCAGCTCGTTTTTATAGCGTTGACAATTCGTAACTATAAAAACGAATCACAAGGCTCGAATAATCGTATTTCTCCTTCCCTAATTGTTCATTTTTATGGACAATGTGAGCGTCAATTAGAGAGAATTTACTATATATGAGCCGTTTATTTTGAAAGTGGTCAAGTCCATTTTTCAAAAACACCGTACTAGCTATTTCAATGTTTATATTTCTACTTTATATGTAATTTCATTTCAGCAAAGTCTCTAGAACGCGATAACCCCTTGGGAACAATAAAACATTATACTACTATGTTATCAGTTACCAATATTTTTAAATTTATTAAAGCGCAAAATCCTTAAATATCTGTATTTTGAAATAAATGCACTTAGATCGCTGTCAAAATAGACGGCTTTATATGTTTCTAATTAACGACCGTCATACGTCCTCTACGCGTCCATCTACAAAATTAGAACTATTAACGTTAAACAGTGTCTCTTTTGAAAATGTTCAACTCTATGTGAGCCATTTTTCATTACGAAAATGAAACTCACGTACCTCGAATGCCAGCTTCTCCAATTCTTCCGGGCATCCCAGGTTGACCCAATATTCCCGGGAATCCACGGGCACCTTGAACACTATCGCCCCGTTGTCCTTTGGCTCCCTATTTATCGTTCTCATCAGTTAAATCCAACGACCAAAAGCTTCACGGTATCGCGGCTCCTTTCGCAATTGTGTAATGTGTAATATTACCTGAAGACCAGATAGACCAGCTAAACCGGGAGCTCCTTTGCTACCTCTGACACCCTTTGTCCCGTCGATTCCAGCTCTCCCACGGAAGCCCATTGGTCCGGCATCACCGATTTCTCCCTTCTCACCCCAGTAACCTCGTTCACCGATGTCACCATACGTCTGATTCGTGCCCGGCTCACCGCGATCACCTTTGTTACCTACGCGACCCTATAACGCAAATCGAAATTGTTTTACGGAAATATCACGTGAGATACAGTGAACGGCAAACGTTGGCACAACACCTGTACTCAGCGACTATAACGATCTAAACAACCTTGATTATTTCCAGAAATATAGAATATACAGGGTGTTCCAAAGTTATGTTACTTCCGGGAAACGAGGGGCTCCTGAGATCATTTGAAGCAACTTTTTCCTTAGCGCAAATGCAATCTGCGGCTTTGTTTACGAGTTATTAACGAAAAACAGTGACCAATGAGAGGCCAGTTCGGCTGGCGCAAGGTGGTCAAGCCAACGAACGGTCGAAACCCAGTTCCGCTCATTGGCTCGGCTGCATCGCGCCAGCTGATCTCGCCTCTCATTGGTCACTGTTTTTCGTTAATAACTCGTAAACAAAGCCACGGATTGCGTTTTTGTTAAGAGAAAAATTACTTCAAATAACCTCAGGAACCCCTTATTTCCAGGAAGTATTATAATTATGGGACACCCTGTATATCTTAGGAATGGTATGGAATAGAATGATAAACTGTTTTAAAATACATGATTTTGAATAACAAATACAACTGTGCATGAAAGGGTTGCAACAAATTATTTATTTAACACTAAACCTACCAAGGTCTAAAAGCAACTAACAAAAATTTTTTCATAAGAATTACAAGATAGAATTTATTCGAATTTTTTGCAATTTTTATTATAGGGTGTGCCTGAATAAAGAAATATATTCAACAATTTTTAATGGTAGCAGCTTTAAGACTTCAATAATTATGAAATAAAAGATGTGAAACCGATGGTAGATTTAGTGCTAAAAGACATGTCGAAAATTCTTTATTTAATACTAAATTTTGTTACTAAATAGTAACCTGTTTTAATAAAGTTCTATCATCTACAAACGAGAATAGCAGTTCAAATTTTTATACTATTTGTTGAAAGTTAGTTTTTCAGCGCTAGTTTTTAGCGGAAGGGGTCACCACAAATAATAGTATAACGCAATGTTATCTAAATTAACTTATATTAGATAATTCATAATATTAATTAATATGGTTAACAGTCGATGCAAAAATGTTATTGTCAAATATTTATCGAAGTTTTATTATTTATCGAGTTTTATTAAAATCAGTGTGTCTCTCACAGCAAGTTTAATGTAAAAATAATGTAAATGTTTCGAAAAAACTTTGGATTACAGCAGTTACAGTGAGAAGTATTACCTAAATAACTAAATATGTTCTACTTTACTAACATTTTACATAAATATGAGATGATTATTTTAAAAGAAAATTGCAATCGTTAGATTCTGTGAAACTATTACTTTGTAATATTGTGTGAAACAGTTCTGACAACTATCTATTGTAGTACATACCGGATGACACTCCCTTGCATCAATTTTTCTAAATGATAAGATAACGATAAGAAAATTCTACTTTAATTGTATATGTTTCAGTTTCTTTAAAATAATAATCAACTTCGTAACTTTCATAACAAGTTTACTACTATTTTATCGGACTGTCAAGGTTAAAGATGTTAAGAAAATCTTTAATACTTGAATTATCAGGGAGGGTCAAAATGACTTGTTTGGCATTTTATATAATCATTACTCATTTTCAGTACATTTTGTTTTTTAAAATTCTGTACGACCTTCTCTACACAAGTAAATAATTAATTGTCTAAAGCAGTCTTTTTTTGTATTTTTGTTGTAAAATTTTATACAGTATACATTTTTGTTATAGTATATATTTTATATAGTTGACCTCCTCGGATCGTCGATAAACTTTTAATTTCAGAAGTTATTATTTTCGTATATACTTGGTAAAGAAAGTATTCGCACACCATTGAAAAGGTTTGAAATTTTCAGCATGCATATAAGTTACCCAGGTCTACAGAATGCATTTTTCAAATTTTCGTCATATAATTCAGACAAAAAAGTTGAAAAAACATCATTTTTTCATTCTCTTATTATGTCAACAAATTACAATTTTTGAAAATAACATTTCAGTCATTATCTAGTATACTAATCCCTCTAACATCCGAACAAAATATAGATCGCTTGGCCTAATTATAAAAAAGTTATTCCGTTTTGAAAAGTATGCGAATATTATTTTTATCCACTGTGGTTCAAATACATTTTTAGAAAACTAAGTATATTTTCGCACACATAGAAATGTTATAAAAAAAAATTGTCATATAATACATATGTTACGTATATATACAATTATAAATAGATTATACAATAATTTATATTCCATAAATATGTTCAGTTGAGAAATAAATTAGAATTAGGAATTAAGAGAACAACTGAAGACATTTTTATCAGTATACTGTAATTTATGGTATAAAATTTTGTATGTTATACACTTACCGGAAAACCAACGGGTCCTTCATTTCCTGGTGTGCCTGGAGCACCACGGTATCCTTGTTCTCCTGGCATTCCTGGATACCCTTTTAATCCACCTGGACCTTGTCGCGATATACCGGGAAATCCAGGTATTCCTGGTTCCCCAGGATATCCTTCGTCGCCTGTACGACCACGAGCTCCTTTTGCACCATCCTCCCCTACAAAAATTTCCCTTCAGCTTTAAGCTTTACAAAGAATTCTTGCGCGTCCGTAAATCTTAATAAAGTAATTCCTTTCATACTTTCATAATTAACCGATCGATAGAAAAACTGTGAAAAATTGCAATTTCTGTCGCTTTATCGTATTCAAGGATACCATTTACATTTTTCTCACAGACATACTTTGTTCAATCAAAATGAGAGATCATTAACTGCCGGAAAGTAGATGGTCGATTGATGAGTCGAATGACGGTGCTGAGACATATTTGACTCGAGCCAAATCAGTGTACCTCCCGATCAGACATTATGAAATAAAATGTAAAAGGTTTTGTTGTCAGAAATGGCTTGGCATCGCCGGCGAACTGTTAAACACTAATAATACTAATCAAATAGATACTTATTTACAAAACGGTTCTCCGGTCCGATTTTGATGAAATTTAAATATGTTCTACAGCGTGACATTTGGAACAACTTTTTGCTTTGTCAAAAATATCACCATTTTACCAAGATATTCATGAAATATCCAGACTAAATATCTAGACCTTAATAACGTAACCTTAACCTATATGTAATTATAGCTATTTTGCAGACGTTAGAAGTGTTGCTTAGGTCTGGGTTAAGCCTACATTATTTATTTTGAAAAGTTCGTTCGTTATACACAGGGTGTCCCAGGTTTTAATGTTCAAACTTTGCCAATATATTCTATGGCACAAAGTAAGAAAAAAATATTATGTAAACATAGGTCATATGGAGCTTTATTAAGAAGTTATAACAAAAATTCGTTCAATGAAATGAAAGAGAATAGAAACGAAATTCGCACGGTCATAAATTCGATCTTCGGTCGATGTCAACCATGTATTGTCAACAACGGTAGACATTTCGAAATGTATTAATAAACACAGCTTACATAAACACACGGTATGTGCTGATCTATTCAAGCCAATGCTCGCAGTAACAGCAAGTTGATTACTATTCCTACTCTGAATTTTTGTTATAACTTCTTAATAAAGCTCTGTATAACCTATGTTTACATAACATTTTTTTCTTATTTTGTGCCATAGTTTGAACATTAAAACCTGGGACACCCTGTATAGATCGCTTATGTGGAGAGTTTATAGAAACATTAAGTAAATACATGGCCGCATCTTGCTAACGCGTGCATGCGTGACGCTGCATGTGCATGTTACGGTTCCATTGTACCGTATGAGGCGGTTCCACTGTTTTTCACGAATATTTTGAAAACTAAAGCAGAGCGATAATTCTTATAGGTACAGTAAAAGTACAGTAAATTTTTTCTAATTGGCGCTCAGATCGTACACAGAAATGGACAATTTGTGAAGAGGAGATACGATTATTTGAGCCTTGCGGCTCGTTTTTATAGTTGTTGACAATCGGTAGCTATAAAAACGAGCCGCAAGGCTCGAATAGTCGTATCTCCTCTTCACAAATTGTCCATTTCTGTGTACGATCTGAGCGCCAATTAGGGAGAATTTACTGTAGTTCGGAATATATTGAGCTGAACAACATATTTAAATTAGATCAAAATGGAAGAGCAGGATTTTTACGTATGAAATTATTTAATCATATTTGTCTTACGTACGTTGTTTTTCAAGTATGCCGTATCAATACAATACGTACGTATAGTATAAACTATGTCGGATGTATCGTGCTAAGAGCCAGTTAAATAAATTATAATTTATGACAATGACTTTATGAAAATGAGGGGAATACAAATTTCTCTTCTGACTCAATCTTTTGTGATATCCCGACTGTGGATTTTTATGCAAAATAAAAATTGTCTGCATTAATTGCAAAAGACAGAAGACAAATATGAATGTATTTCTTCTTCTAATAGTTACAGTAAACTGAAAGCAATGCAAGAATTTTGGTAAATTCTTTTGATGGCTTGACTGTTTTGCACTTTCACTTACGGGCCATGCCATGCCAAGCAGATCACACACAAGTTTACACACAAGTTTACACACTAATGTAATTATTATAAAAATGTGTCAATGGTCAAGAGTGAATTGCTAAAATTCTTGTGGGAGAATAAATGACACTATTCAGCTGTTTTGGAAATCTGTCGATTCTGACAATTGTCAACGTTTTATATAATTAACAATTAATATCTTTTGACTCTCAACACATCACTGTTTCTTTCAAAGTGGAATGATTTCTATATACTTCCACTGCATAATCATATCAACATCATTTCCACCAACATCTATCCATGCAAATGATTATTGTTTGAAGTGTAAAGTGTATTGCTTAAAGTGTAAAATAGCAACTTTGTATCTTTAATAGTTTCAGAGACATAAATTCAAAAATGAAGGCAGCCTTCGTAAAATTCAGCGAACACTGCAAACTTTGAAGACATATAACTGTTAAACAATTTCGAAATTAGAAAAATGATGACGTAACCCCCTTCTCCAATTTCAATATCATTAAAATCACTGACATCGAGGTACAAAAGTGACCCGCTTGGGGTGGAATGGCCCTTACTTACTCTTTCCATTGTTGCACAAAATCCACGGTTTAGTGAAAATTGATTTTTTGGGGAGAAGGGAGATTCCAATTTTAAGATATACAAATAAAAGTACAATACGACAACTGAATTATTGAAATAGTAGCACCGTAGCTAAAAAATAAATCATCTCTACCTTTCGTTCGACTTTCAGACATTCTTCGGTTCAAGTTTAAACATTTAAAGCTCAGATTCTGGCAGGGCTGCTTAGGCTATCTAAGTTTCTCATTTAAAACATGCGGCAACGATTTTTGTAACTCCTCACCTGGAGCACCAACTTCTCCTTTGAACCCTTTGTCTCCGTCCAATTTTATGTCGTGCTGCGAGGACGTTCCAGGTTCACCTTTCCTTCCTCTATCACCTTCCATACCCTTAGGCCCTCGTTGTCCCGGGAAACCTGACTCTCCTTTCAGATACAAAAGCGGTACCTGCGCGTCTTCACCTTTCTCACCCGGAACACCATCGAGACCTGATAAACCGTCTCGGCCAGAAGGCCCTGGAGATCCATAATCACCCTAAAAGCAAAATACCATTGTCAGTGCTATGAGCCGAGGGCTGTTGCAGTTGTGCATGACCAAGGATTGTTTGGTTTTTGAGAATTTGTCACTTGTGGACGAGCCGATGCACAGTGGAGTGTTTACCCGAAAACGCAGTAAGAAAACATTTTCTGACCGAAATCATAAAATATCCATCTTCTTGAAATTTTACGATAAAATATCATATGTGTACTTATGAAAATTGAATAAGTTGCAGAATCTATTTCTGAACAACATTTATAAATAACAATATAATTATAAAATACATACATCGAATGTCCAAGTGTCAAATCGTTGAATAACTCATGAAAAATAAATTAGCAACTGCACAGCGAATTATTAAAAAATTATAAAAAACATAGGAACGTCAATAATTACAACAATCCCTCTAACTGCTCCAACAGCATCTGATAGCAGCTCATTTTTTTAAAAAGAAAGTAAGATTCCACTCTTTAATTAAAAGGTGACCAAAACGAACATTATCTCGTGGCACACATAATTAAAGAATGAAATAAAAATTAAACATATTTAAGTAGATATAACTCAAAAATTGTGAACAATACAAGACTGTGCTCTGGCATAATTTAGGTACATGCTAACAAGGGAATGTCCCCAAGGTTGACGCTTTACAAGCACTACCACTGCACCAAATCTCATCAAAAAGTGAGCGTCAACTCTGATAACCTTCCTTTGTAAATGCAACAAATTCTCTCACCAATCATTTAATTATAAATAATATAAACGGTTTTAGGAGATTTGTGTAGTCACGTCCAAAATGAACAAATAGTAGAAAAAAATCATAGTAAATCATAATCTATTGGGTTGGCAACTAAGTAATTGCCGATTTCAGTTATAGATGTCTCTCACTCCCATTTTTATGATATCCGTAAATATTATATTATAAAATTATTATTATTATTATTATGTTATTTTTTATTATTCGTGAATGTTAGCAACTGGACAAATTGAATGCAGCGGTCAAGGAAAAGCGACCAGGATTGGTCAATCGTAAAGGTGTCATTCTCCACCAGGACAATGCTAGACCGCACACGTCTTTGTCCACTCGGCAAAAATT